TCCAGGATAGAGGCTGGACTTTCTTAAAAAGAGAGGTTGCTTTTTCTTTTAAATTCAGCATGAAAAGAGAAAGACAAAATTATTACAGAAACGTGGGATTGGATTACTCAATTACTGCTTTGCAAAGAAAGGTCAGAACATGGACCTTTTGTTGGAAATGGCAACAGTCTATTAGTCATGACAAAAAGAAACTTTGTAGAGAAACTAAAAATGAGATTTACGTTTCCTTTTGTTCCACCTGAGAGAGCGCAGAGGAGTGTACACGACTCCTGTTTGACCTGACACAGAGCTCAAACGCACACTCCAATCAGCCACACATAGTTAGTGTTAATGATGTTCCAGTTTCACTCAAAATGATGCAATGCAGCCTTAATTTCCATCTGCCAACTGGACTACAGAATTTTAATGAGCTTGGCTAAATTATATGAGTCCATCCATCTATCCCTTGCTTCCTGGGGGAACAATAACGAGAAAAAACCATAGTAATTATAAAACTACAATGCAAGATTAGGGCGACTTCCAAGTACAATTTCATTTGAGATTTTAAAATAAAGTCCTAAACTTAAAAGAATAAAGTCGTGACAGAAACATACCAAAGTTTTAGGAGAACTGGTTGAAATGAACAGTGATGTCCTTTAAGACCAACAAATGCAAACATTGAGAGTTCCCAACATTCATACTAACAGATTGGCTCAGTTGAAGACACCACACTACGGCAAGTCCATTCACTCAAACTACATTGCCCTCCATTTAAATAAGTCAGATGTGCTCAGTTAAAAGACCCTTGGGGTTGTCTTTATTTCCGTTTGTTCATTCAATTGACCTCGAAACTTTCCCTCCATATAATACAGAGAATTACAACGTACTGTCTTGAAATCTTTAGATGGCTTTAAATGTACATGTTAACTTTTCTAAAGGAAAAATAAAAATAAAAGATGTACACAGGATCTCAGTTTATCAATAGATCATTTTGTTTTTATTCCATATTTCCTTTGGCAACCTAAAAGAGGCAGTAGTCGAAGTCCTATTTGATGAGTAGTGATAGATTGCTTTGTAAAACTGCAATCCCATGAAACTTAATCAGTCGTAAAACCCACTTCTCTAATGTCCAGGACCAACCACAATCTTCTACGTCATCCAAACAAACTTCCAGCCAATCATAGAGCATGACATCATCAACAGGCGCCAGGCCCCAAAGCTGATCTGGCAGCCCAAACACATCAGGTACCTACACTGGCTGGACCCCTAAATTTCCAATCAAGGAAGAAGACGACCAACTTTACCACCGAACCACAGCAACCCAACAATAGAGTCACTGAACTTTCATTAAAGCTTCACGAGTTTTTGCTGCAGAACAACTCAACAATACTGAAGTCACAATTCCCAAATGGAGAATATGGAGGTGTGTTGATGGTATCCTCATACAGCCTGATTGTCAACGTTGTCTTAAGTCTAACAGTCCTCAAAGAAGTCACCTGACTTAAAACATCCATGGCAGTAAGTTCTTTGAGTCTTAGGAAGTAAAGTCAGACTTTTACTGAGATTCAAGGATGAATGCATGAATTCCGTCCCCTCGGCGAGCTGTGCCAAGCTGGTTGAACTCTCAATGTCATCTCCAGATTGGATGACAACTTTTAATGTGGGCAAAAGTGTTGACATCAGTGCTGGACCTTTTTTCATTCCTCTTAATCTATGTGACCAAAGTTCACCATGGTGTCTGTTTCTTGAATAGGGTAATGTATTAGCGTCATGTTCCCATTTATTCCTTTATGAGTCATATACATCAATCACTTTTTTTTAAATTTTTTTTTAGATTAATCCTTCAAAAACTGTGTCTCTGAAGTTTTTAAAATATTCACACCCTCTACGTGCACTTTCCCTATCTAAAGTTTGCATGTTATTATCCTGTGGTGAAAGGATGCATACGTTGCTCTTTATCCTCAAGAGTTGAGTTTGAGCCCATCCACCTCCACCTTTACACCCCCTGAGTTTAACAAGGGCATTTCCTTTTTGTTAATAAGGTTAAAGATAATAGAGCAGTGATAGTTCCCACCTTTGCTGCACACTTCAGTGATTTTACACTTTGGCTGGTGGTTCATCATGTTTTATCTTCCTCTGCTCCTCATTTTGCAAACTGTCAAAAATGCACTGACCCCTTCAGCTTATGCCAAGAGTCTGTAATCAAACCATTTTTCTGTGGGTGTTTCAGGGGTTATTTTGAAAAGGCCCTGACATCTCACCAATCCTCCAACACATTCAATGAGCGAGTCATCACCTGGGAAGAAGTGAATTATCACAACCATTGTGTTGGAGGTGTTAAAATTAAGAATAGATTTACACATTTTTTTAAAGATACTCTAACTCAGCGCTTGTGGGAATGAGCTCAATGTCCCTTTGTGCCTCAACAAAAAGTACAGCAAGATGTAAGAACAGGCTGATTTTAGATACACCAAATCAATGTTTCAACAATTTGATCAAGTCTAATTTTGCTCTATATTCCAGAGATTTGTCAGAGCCAAGGTCCTCATATTTAAAAGTCATATTAAGCTCAGAATTATAATCCTCAATCATGATTCGTCACATTTGAAAATCATAATTTTTTTTGCACTTTAAGATGGTTTTTATTCAGTTATCACTGCAGCTCAACTTTACTGTGCATGCAAATATACTGATTGTCTTCATTTGAGAATCTCATGAATGTGACTAAATGTTAATTTTTAGATTTATTACTTGAAAAACTTCTTGCATTGCTGCAGGGCAACTTCCGAACTTCCCAACTTTCCATCTCTTGAGCCGATTTTTTCATTGAATGTTGAAATCTTACTACTATTTTAACATTAGAAATATAACCTCAGGCGTAAACACATACGTTTTTTGTCGTATTGGCATTTTACCCACACGGAAAAGACACGTCCGGTGACTGTAAACAATACTTTTTGAAAACAGGTCTCAGAGTGGATAAATCCGACTACTTTACGCTTTACATGCATGCTCTGTACTCTTCTGTCTTTTGGTGAATTTCTAGGGCAGTGTTACAGCGTCAGTTACTGGCTTGGCAATGGGACTATCAGGGTGACCGTATTCTGACTTCCCAAAAAGAGGACATGACTACATGGGGGCGGAGTCACAGAGTCGCACAAAGTTAATTTTGAAAGCTTTTGGGGTCGGATTGAGCGTCTTTTATGTGTTTCTAACTCAGTAAGGATGAAGGATTTTATAAACTTCCCGGACAGCACCCAAAAAAGATGACATGTCAGGGTAAAAGACGACGTACGGTCACACTACACGACATTGTTTTCAGGTTTTTTTTTTCTATGTGGTTTTGCGTCTAAAAAAAAAAATTCTGTCTTGACGAAAAACTTTTTCAAAACAAAACAGCAATATATCGTTTTCATTTCTGTGTAAACAAAGCCTTGTTCATTTTATTACAACAGGTGATTGGTAAGACTGGTGGACAAGGAAAGAGAAAGGCAAGAGAAAACCGGTCAATCCAAATATATTAGAAAAAAAAACGAAAATTCAGAGCAGCTGACTCTTCAATTTGCAAACAACAGAGGATGAAACCACAAATTTATGTTAAATTGACTCCAAGTAAAACCAAGTTTACTTGATTAAAGCCGGGAAATAATCAAGATCAATAAAAACTAAAGCTTCACTGGCTTCATGTTAGCCAGTGTCCAAAACTATACAGTTATCCTTACAAACTCTGTTGCAAAATTACTGGTATAAAAAAAAAATAAGAGAATGAAAACGACTCCAATTATCCCATGGCGGTCGCCGCTGCTGCTGACACCTCACTGGGTCTCAGGATTTTTTTCCCTTTCCTTTCCTCCTCACACTTTCTATCCATCTTGCGTCTGTGAAGTCTTGCCCTGTTTCCTTTGAGGCCTCAGAGATGTGGCCGCCGCTGTGCTTCCGGATCCTGAGACCTGCAGGACGCTGCCACCGTGCTTCTATCACACAGCCCTTTAATAGCTCTGCTGCCCCATTAATTCTACGTTCAAAGCATGCACTTCCCCTCTGTAATAAGTGAAACCTTATTGACAGCATGACAATAAACTGTTCAGCTCCCTGTAATTAATGCTATGTCCTGCCATTAAAATTGGACTCTAATAATAACTTGGCTAATTGGTGGAGCACTGAAGCCAGCTGACAGAACAAACTGAAACACAGAAGGAGCTTTCTTGGCCACTGAAACATTGGCAAGGATCTGAATACAGCAACAGAATTTATAGACTGATTCCAAGAAGAGTCTTATGATTTTACCTGAAACAACTAAATACCAAGATGCACCAATTTTCTCTTTGTTTGGCCCTCAAGCTGGACTTATCCAGGTCAGATCAGTTCAAACAACTTTATTTTCATCCAAAGAGGGCGACTTGGGTTTGGCGCTCGACTCAGACCATTTAAACGTTTATTTTGCTGTAGGGTTGTGGTCAGCAGGGACGTGGTTTAATGCGCTTAAGCTAACGTAGCTGCACTTGGTGTGAGTGTCATATATTATTGTAAGGGAAGAAAAGGCAAACTAGAGGGTTGCTGTGAATGAATCCACTGGGGGCAGCGGAAATCAAATATCCAAAGAAATGAACCCTGACTTGGCCTGGAGAAAACATCCTCACTGAATACAACTTTTAACCAAGAGCTGACACACAAAGCAGAGACTGGTGAGAAGGTGAGACAAATTAATGTTAAAATATAAATCTGATAAATAGATTCTCAAGAGCAATGCATAATGAAATGAACAAAGCATCCCTGAATGCCTTATTTATCTATTAACTAAAACTATGTTTAAGTTTTAGTGGAATTTTTGGTGCTGCAAGACTTCTTGCGAGCTTTCTTGTGCAGGTTGTCAGGAGGCTTGTAGCAGTGTTGAGGAATCCTTTGCATCTTTTGTGAGAAATGCTTGTTCCTCTTGTAGGAAGTAACCATCAGGTGCCTGTGAGAATCCTGAGGGACTCTGGTTCCCTTGGTTCTTTCAACTTCTCGTTCTTACTTTTCAGGGGAAACAGACACAGGTTTCACCATTAAAAGCCCTTGGTATGGGTTTATCTATCCTTCTGCCCCAAATCACAAACTTTGTCTTAGTTCAAACATGGGCGTGCCCAGCGGTACCTGTAAAGAGTTTAAAGGTTTTGACCTGGCTGGTGTTTGTATGTGGTCAGACATGTGTCCTTCACCAGATGTCAACGTGGTTCAGACTGTTCAGGTAGAGACATGGATTTCAAAGGTGGGGGGAACACATGTGATGAGTACTGTTGAGACATACAGCCGAGCAAACAGCACATCTCACACACACAGTAACAGAGGGGGCAGTACGGCCAACGGGTGGATGGAAGTACAAACTCGATACAGGGATGTAAATGAAACCTCTGATGAATGTGGCGTTACAGAAGGAAAATGAACACCGCCCTTCTGTAAACTTACATCGGCGAATAGCGATGTTCACGGACTGACTCTTGAGAGCAACTTGCAAAACACTAATCCGGCAGGCATGGAATGACTGACAACAGGGATAGCCAATCACACACAAGGGCGGTCTGAACTGAGGGAAACCAGTTTTCAGCTTGAGCGGCCGCTTGGTCCCAGTGCCTGACATGTATCGGTTTTGCTATAGCGTAACATTGATTTCAGACGGGTGAAACTGCAGGGGACCAAAATGGGCTTTTGAAAAATTACGCCCGTGAGTAGAGACAAAAAAAGCTCCAAATGACTGCCCTGAGATGTGTGTCATGTCAATGACATTGTTGATGATTGTCCTTCCCCTGCAGAGACGCTGGTAACCAGAATGTATTTGCTGAAAGTTGGCGGCCATGACAGTAATGGCCAGTTGCATGAATACTCGAGTTCGTTAAGGATTTGTCACACTGTGATTTCCTGTCAGAAACCACAGCGGTTCAAAGATGACTGCCGACATCTTGTCAATTACCAATTTATATTGAATGCTGTTTAATCACATTTATGTTTGTAAAAGTTTCTACTTTCAGATCCAGCCCCTTTTCATCACACATTTCTGAAGCTAGGTCATGGTGGCAGAAGGCCAAGCCAGTTATCCCAAACATCTCCCTACTGAAGGCAAAATGGGGACATATATTCCCCCTTGGTGCATTCAGTGTGGACCCTCTAGGTCTCCTTCCCCAAAGGAGACACTGAGGATGTGCCCTTATCAGACATTCGAACCACTTCAGCTGGCTCCATCCGGTGCTAAGAAACCCTTAACTCTAAGGTAAACATCGGTCACTGCCCAAAGTTCATGACGACAAACAATCTGAAATGGCTTGGGTCATGTATTGTGAATTGACCAGGACAGCCACCATTAGGCAGAAGGAAAACCCAGAAGCCCAAAACCCGAGGAGAACAACATGAGGGCGATGAGGAAGCTTGTTTAAGCCTATCGTCCCACGAGGTATGAGAGGAGTAAGCGAATGTTGTATCGCTTATTAACACTTGTGCTGTGCTGGTTTAATATTTCTGCAGGTGAGTCACCCTGACAATAATTCATCTATAATCTTATCATCATAATTTCATTGTTGGAACATAATACAGAGTGTGCTCGCCTCCAGGGATTAATATGATGTCCCAATAAACAAGGAACATGATCTGACCTAATTCAAGTTGTTTATGTATGAGATGTAAGATGATCTGAGTGGAGACGAGCGACTGTTGAGGGATATAAAAATGAAAAACAAGTGAGTTGTATGGATCGGCGGGGTTGAAAAAGGATTGCATGAGCTAAAAATCCAATTGCATGAAGATGAAAATCGAACTGTTAGACCTGTAGGCTAGCAGGCGAAAGCTGGATGACATCCTCCTCATTGACGGAATCTGTCTATGGAGGTTATTCACAGACAGAGCGTCAATAAAGAGGCTTTTCACAGGGAGGTTGTTTCATTCGTGTAAAGCTCTTCCACACACCTCCAGGAATGTCATCCAGGCTTAAATACCTTGATTCTGATTAGAGATTTCATATTTCATCTCTTCTTGTCTGTTATGCGAGATGTGTTAATGTTCGCAGGCTCTAATTGAAGAGCCGAACATGGCAGGAGTCCTGGTGTGAACTTTAGCTTTGAGAGTGAAACCCTGCAGGCTGGAAGTCAATAAGTCTCCGAGGGGTATGATTTCGATTTTATCTTACACCATGCAGGGTTCAGCTTTTAATGTTGGGATAGCGTTTCAGCGGTTGGATGGATTTTTTCTTTTTAATACTTAAAATTTTATTATTATAGCAAGAATTTGGCAGCCGATAATGCACAATAACTCTGATTCTGGTGAGGAAACAAAGACATACTCCACTTTTGAATTAATAGGCACCATTATTATCACAGAGCGGGGATGTATCTGTCAGTCGCCAAAAAAGTCCACACTTGAACAGTGGCGTGCCCTAACATGCGGCGGTATCATGGATGTAAAGAAACAAGGCCATGTGCCACCCCGTCTTCCTCATTATAAGCCCACGGGGGAGGCGCCGGCGTCACTTAGAGGGATAATGTGACAGCCCAGAACAAAGGAGCAGGTAAACAAAAGGCCAAGCTTGAAAAACACCTACTTTCTCCCAAGGGACCGTGGGTAAGATAGGGAGGGGGAGAGAAAGAGGCATATGCAGCCCCACTCAGGAATAGATGGAGTGTTTTTTTTAGGTGTGTTTTAAAGCTACACAAAACACCGCAGAGAGACTATCTCTGCTGACCATCTGTAATTCATCTTGCAGATTTTGCCTGCAGTGCAAGGTTGCTGTAAATCATTATGAATAAAGACGCCGTCTACCGTCCATATTTATCATTCATGAAGTGTGCTTATGCTCGCGCTAATTCACGTACAAATAAAAGCCTGCATAGTTCATAAAGGCATCATTTTCCCAAAGGTTTAATTGCACATAAATATGAAGAAAAGATAGACAAAACCATCCATTAGAAGTACAATCGAAAGCAGTTTGAATGATGTTCCTTTGAGTCTCTTATAAAGGCATTATAAAGGAAAAAAAGAGAAAAATGGGACATATCTAACCCTTGATATGTGTCCGGCTTGGCTTGAGAAAATAAACCTTCTTTGTGGTGAATTTCAAGGGAGAATTTTTAATGTTTAAAAAAGATCTCTTACACATGCTGTTGTTATTGTCTGTCTCGATTCTTCTCCCTCTTTTTTCATCTTCCTCTATTCCTCTCTCCAGCGCAGTCACGACAGAGTCTGGTTCTATATGAGTCTGGTTCTGCTCGAGATCCCTGCCTAGTAAAAAACTTGCAAAAGCAAAGCGCAGTCTGAATGTTACTGTATCGGATTATATGACCCAAGAGCTCATTTTCTCCAGCATCTTGGAGTAACATTTGTTACTGTTTTCATTGTATTAGTCTGGGTGTTACTTTTTACACAGCTACACAGTCATGAAACTAGCCTAGAAGTCAAATCAAATCAAACTTTGTTTATAAAGCGCTTTTCCTACAAGAGTGTAACTTGACCAACAGTGGACTATCAGGCCAAACTGACCAAGAGTGGACCCCTATTTTTGGTCATTTAAATAAAACAAAAATTTAATAGATTTTTTTTAAAGTTATTTTACCATAATGTCACTGTGTGGCTTTTTTTTCCCTAAATTGCCAAGAGTGGACCTGGATCCATGAGTAAGATCTACCTGTCGAACAGGCGACCTCCATTTAAGGCAGTGGAGCTGTCTGAACCCATTCACACCGCTGATGAGAGCTTGTTTACCACAATGACTATCTTTGTTCCTTTCAAGAATGGCTGATTTAACCTACATGTGATAATTACACACACGCGTGGGCGAATGCACCCGCACATACACACACTAAGATAGTGGACATGAGGCTGAGTACAGATAAACCAGTTGAGAAAGCGCCATCAGAGGAGCCGTTAGCACCGGGAAGTAAAACCTCTGAGGCTGTTGTAAAGCTACTAACAGCTTGTCATTCTGGATGAATGAAAGACTTCATAGGCTTCGTAGAAAGACGTCCTAAGAGGTCTTTATAGATGGGACAGCCCCAGTTTTTACTTACAGTTGAGGCACAAATCAAGCATGTACTGGACAATGTTTAAAAAGGGGATCTTCAGTACAGCTGCTGAAAAAGTTTTGCCTCCAAAGGCAAAGAGACGGTTGTGAAGAATTCAGGTGTTAAAGTCAGTAATTTGTATCCTTTCATTGACATTCAACAGAATTGATGAAACAAGATAACGGACACTGCAGACTGACTAGTATCAGGATCCTCACTGACGATGCAGAACTCCCCGGGGCTCAATATACGATGAGAGTAAAAACGCAGGCATGCTCATGAAGTCCGTAGAGAATATTATTCACAGGCATGCAGACTTGTTTAACATGTGTAATAACTGCACTGGCAGTTGAATAAATCATGCAAAAGTTAATAAGCTTCTGATGTGTGTGCTTTAAAAGGAATATGCAGATGCCTTTAGGAGTTTTCTGGGAATGAAAATATCTGTACTTTTGATCATGGCTGTTTTAAACGTCTCCTGTTTTGGTTTTCGATTAACTTTTCTGTCCTAGTGTAGTGCGGGAATGGAGAAACCTATTTTTTAAAAGTTTTCCTTTCATATTCAAACTCTTTATTTTGTATATTTTTGCAATTTGACACTTTAAAAAGATCCCCTGCTTCAATTTTTCTGTGGTTACACTTATATAACATACAGAAATATACTGTCAATAGGATTGTGCAAAGAATCAAGTACTTTTAAAGGGTGGTTTGGTTAGTGGGGTAAGTAAAAATGGGCATACATTGACTGTTTGGTAAAGGAAATGACATTTTTATTGTCTAGAAGCTCTGCTTTTTAATGGTTAATATTTTAAATTTTAAATATTTTTGATTTCCCAGTATTGGTGATCTTGATGTTTTGTCGTTATACTTAGCAAAGTGGCAAAAATTCAAATGTAAGTTGCAACTTTTTCCCCAACAGTGAAAATATTGTCAAAAAAAAGGCCTCAATGACGAAGCAATAGGAAATCTTAGAGATGATACAACTTTGTGCCACCGCTGTAAAACTCATTGTAACATTAACCGAAGTGCTCATGAGGTGAAGATAATCACTTGACCGATTAAGTTCATTAGCAGAATGGTTGTGGTGGCAGCCGGGGCGTCTGTGCGTTTGTCCATGATCCTGGTTAAGCAGCAGAGAAACGGCTCCTCAGCACCAGGAAATTCTTGTTATTGTTCGAGTCAAGGCTTTAATGTTTAATTAATGCCC